CCCTTCCAGCCCTAATGTCTATGAAATCTATGAAATTTTATTCATGTGACTTCTAGCTAAAAGCCTGTTCCAAACTCCATTAAAGACTGTGAAAAGTTTGTCTTGATCTTTAGCAGCATTAGAATCAAACTTGTGGGCTAGGGAAAGACATTCAGCCTGAGCCTGAATTGATTCAATCTTTGCAGATTAGTCTAACCTGCCTAGGTTGAACTGATTTGCAAGTGCAGACATTCCCTCTGGACTGAGGAAATTCAGGCACATGCCTGCAGTGGCTCAGGGTAGAAGCCAGGGGGTGCTAGAGCAGCCCTTCCCTTCCCTTCCTCAATGCTGAGTTGGGGGGGAGGAGGGGGCAGGCCATGGCCAGGCCCTGGCACAGGGGCAGCAATTATTCTGGGCAGAGGGCCTCTTACTGAGTTTTGACGAGCCATCGAGGGCTGCATGACAGGCAGCCTGGGCAGATAAATATTAATTTTCTCAATTTTTTATTGGCCCTGTGTGCCAGAAAGAATGGCCTGGTGGGCCGCATTTTGCTCACCCCTTCACCTGGCAGGACTCTATGATTAAGGAGGGGTTTAAACCCTGTCCCTACCTTCACAGTCCCAGGCTTTTCCCCACTCGCTGCTCCAGGTACAGGAGTGTTGCCAGACCCCAGCCCCTGGCTAGCACTCTGAGGCAAAGTGGTGGTGTGCAGTGTATGCATCTGTTGCTGATACTGAGCTTTTCAATCTCCCTCTCCCTGCTTCTTTATACTGTCTGCAAACATGACAGGAGAGGGAGCCAGCAGGGAGCTGATAACACAGTGTTTAGCAGCCCATCAAGAAAACAAAAGCCTCTCTCCTTAGTTCGAGCTCCTCTTAAACAGCTTTTTCCAAGGAAGGAAAGTGGATATTCAGCTGATCTGTTGATTATTTCTGAAAAGACCTAAGTGGACACTGTTCTGTCTGCCCACATGCCTAGGGTCTGTGGGGCTGGGGCCCGTGCTGAGGGAGATGGGAGGAGGAGATCCTGGCTTGAGCAGCAAGTGGTGAGGGAGGGGGTGGGGGTCAGAGGGAAGCCAGGCAGACCCTGCTGTGCCTGCAGTCTCTGCCAGAGCTCTGGCTAGGGAGCAGAGGGGTGGGGCCAGCCCTGTTTTCTGGAGCAGATAACCTAGCCTAGTCCAGTCCAGGGCTGCTGCAGCATCTGGGATGCTGGGTCACTCTGGTTTAACTTAAACCAGGAAGGGATCTGGGACAAACATTGCATAAATCGGTTTGACCCAAATCAGTTAACTCTGATTCAGCCATATTTATCTTAAGCTAGTTTCAGTCATTTTGAAACTGGTTTATGTGTACTGAACTTCTGTTCTGTTACAGGTTTAAACCAGTTTCTGATCACTTAAACCTGTTTATGTGTAATGTCTGTCCCTAGCCTTAGAGTCTCACTGTTGTACCTACCTACTGCAAAGAACAGGGGAAAAAAAGAAACCCTTCAAATTTATTCCTGATGTTTTTGTTTTTTGCTCCATGTTTTAATTAAAGACAAAAAAACCCAAAAATACTCTCATAATATCCCAAAATATCAGCAAAAGATTGAACAGATTCTTTGTACATGTTTATAAATTGTAACCTTTTGTAATGGGATGTTCTGTTAATAGAGTCTGATGGTTTTATTTTTTAATTTGTTCCTTAAAATCTGTGCATTACCAGCATTTTATTCAGCTTTCCCTGAAAAAGCGCTCTAATGAAATTATCTGTCCTTCCAAAAGAAATGCTGAGTATTAAACATGTTAGAAATTATTTGATCTCTTTTGATTTCTTTCAGCTAACGGGAGAGGTGACTTTGCAAATTGCCAGTGAACCAGTTCTGCCCTTTAATGCCCTGGACATTGCATTAGAAGTTCAGAACAGCCTTAAAGGTAATTTTCATAGAGCAATAGTAATTTCAGCTAACATGAGGGGAGGAAAAAAGGTTCATCTACTTTCCAATACTGAGACTTCCAATTTCAGTATAAACAATACCTGCTGATTTTATTAGTTAAACGGTGTCATATTATGGTGTTAAATGAAACATAATTTAGTTGCTTAATAGATACATAAATTGTTTACATTCTTCTGATCTTAACTATGACAGTTAATAATTAGTATTAAAATCTCATAATTAGAGTCAAAGATAAACAACATCCGTCACTGAGCTGCAAGATTGTGTTTCCACTCAGGAATGCACTCTGCACAAGTCAGAAGGGGCTCTAAACCTTATTACCATTTAGGCTCTGTAATTTTCACCATTTGATGAGAGACCATCTCGCTCATTTATTTATTGCACTAGTTCACGTTGGCAGCAGATCACTCCAACCTGCTGCTGTTCTCAGAGCCACTAGGAAGCAGGATAATTTACTGCTAAATAATTTGCTTGAGTTGATTTACAGATCAGTTCCTGAAAGCTCTGTGTTTGAAACTGCATGACCTTGGTTTATGCATTTGGGCTGCTTACAGACATGAAAAAACAGAACCAAACAGCGCTTTGCTTTAAGCTTGGCGTGCCTCAACACTAAGCTCAGCACATGGCCAGAAGAGGCATCGCATTAGTTTGACCCAGCCCACCCAACACCTGTATATGTCAGGCACTTCAGTAGGTCTTTTTGGCACTTTTATCTGATAGCTGATTGAATCACTGTCATTAACTTAGCAGTTTTGCTTAATAAGGTCTTCTGTGAATTTGTGTTGCACTTACCTGTGACTACTGTCACCTAATGATCCCCTTCATTTTGAAAACCTACAAGACATTTTTCCTAGCTACTTTAAAGGAGGCATTATCATTTATAAGACACCTCATGAGTGTTCCTGTTCTCCATCTGTTACTAGATATAGTTTAGGGCAGGGGTGCTCAAACCTCAGCCTGTGAACCAGATCTGCCCTGTGGTGCCATGTCATCTAGTCTGAAGGGCTTCCCACAAATCCCTGGGTAGCTCCATTGGACGTGGTCCTACATTCTAGATTGGATATGCAGGGAAGCACATGGGGGTAGTGTGTGCCCCCAGAGGCTGATCCTGACCACATGGTGGTGGTGCAGGGCTCCAGGAGCCCATTCCTAGCTGAACAGAGGTGGTACAGGCCCCTGGAGCCCAATCCCATCCAGTCAAAGGTTATGCAGGGTCTCCAGAACCTGATCCCAGCTGGGTGGACCTCAACATGGGGCATCCTGGCTCCAATCGCAGCATATTGAGTGGTGTGGAACCCAATCTGGCCCACAGACTGGCACCATGCCATTCATCTAGCCCATGGGGCTAAAAGCCTGAGCACAGTGGTGTAGGGGTTTGTTTGTTCAGATGTATATTGACTTTGTTAGTGTTTTATCTTCTTTGTTAGTGGTTCATCAGGGAAGTTATTTGACACTCACTTCTTCTCTCTGGTCTTTCCCTCGTCAGTCTGCTCAGCACTGCCTACCCAGAGTAAAGTGAAGACCAGTACATCTCTGGTTGAGACATAAGGAGAGGTGGAAAACAATATTGTCCATATTAAATTCCCTCCACATCAGTAACC